GGGAGGACAAGCCGCTCACATGACTCCACAACCCCGTGCCTACGCAAGCTCCAAGTAAATAAACACGGGACCAATGTCTGCCAGCAGGCCGGGATCAAAACACATCTCCAGCTGCTGGGAACACAGAGAGCAGCCGTTTCCTTAGAAGCCTGTTCCCGGGGTCTTGAGAGGCCACTTGAAACCCATAGACCTGACGATGGCTCAGGGTATGGCCCCAGGTGTCCTAAGCCCTGTGAAAACAGCAGCCCCTGTGGGCTCCCTTAGCAGGGACACTCCAAACCTATAGGAAAAAATGTCCCTTTCCATAGAATGCTACTGTAGAAAAAATGTCGCTTCGAATAGAATGATGCCTACCACCTCCGGAGTTGCCACCAAAGAGCAAAGGGTACGTTTTTGGATCGTAGGGAGTCACTGACAGAGCCAGGGGATGAACGCATCAAAACTAAAATTTATCTTCCCCAGCCCTTCTGTGTACAGGTGAATCCACCAACAATCCTGTGACACAGGAGGAAAGGAGTCAGGGCTAAATCCCTGGCCTCGTCATGCAGCTAGGGCAGCTCAGACAGGGCATGAGAACACCAAGTCTTAGGCCCCTACCCCAGCCTGGGTCAAAACCAAATTCAAACCAGTTGGAGATGAAGCACTTCACTTGTTACCTCTGAAGACCCTGGAAACATATTTGCTGAAACACTTAAAAAGCAGAAAATCCAAATCCTTTTTTTTTTTTTCTTTAAGAAAAGTGACACTGTAGGAATGGAGGCAAAGCCTGAGGTTTCATTCACAGAAGAGCTTCCGCTGGTCAGGACGGAGTGGAAATTTCCACACATCAGTGTTTCACATGTATATTTCCAGAGCTAAAGGACGGCCAGAGTCCACAACTTTCAAGCAGATTAAAATGCATAGCTTTCTGAAAACCTCTGCTGACTCTGGCCAATTTTCAGGCTTCTCCAGAATCCAATGGGGCCAACATGATTCACTGAAATTCTTTATGAATTAAGAAGCTGTAAATTACGCATCTTCTCTTTGAAACATGCATTACTTTCCATGCTTTACAGCCAAGTCGAATGAATAGCATCACAGAGGCGGTTTTCTCTCTGGGAAAATGTTCTCCCGTATTTCCCTCCTCTTCATGTGGAGGATCGCCTAGTGAGGTGGCATCGATGGCTGGCTGGGGAGCAGCCCAACTTGACATAGTTTGGAGTTTGAAAGTGCAAAGTGGTATCTGTGTAAAATACCTCACCATGAAAAGTTTTAAGGCCAGGTTTTAGGCGAATAGCAAGCGCGAACCCCACATGGTTCAACTGGCAGAGCAAAAAAGACAACAGGAGAAATTCAGACTCATGGAAGCTCAGAGACTGCAACAGGAAGTGGTTCAGCAGGGCTGGGAGGCTCGGGCTCCCCTACAAACCCAATGTTGCGTTTCCTTTGAAGTCCTTCATTCCCTCATTAAAGGTGTTCTGGGTGCCAGGCATTCCCCTGCCCGGGGAGTACAGCAGCCTGCACTCCAGCTAGGGAGGAGGCATGTGCTAGGATGTGTCCAAAGCTGCCTGGGCTTAGATGGCTCTCAAACCAAAAAGGGAGGTAGCCCCCTGGTACCCAAGGGCTGAGACTTTGGCTCTAGACAGACAGACAGACAAAGGAGCCCATGACCACAGCCTTTCCTTGGTAGGGTGCTACCGGTCAACTGTGTCTACGTTCATATTAATTTACTTAAAAATTATTTTCTGATAAATGCAACAAGGAATGGTTTGGAAGGAAAATAGAAAGCTTGGGAAAACCTAGCTGTCTTCAGAAAATACAGAGAACACCTATAAGATGCTTGAATGTTTGAAAACAAATCGTTTTAACAGCAGTGTCTTTGTAAAGTGGTGCAGATGATGTAACATACAAACGAGTTTGCTCATAAAGTGTGGGGTTGGGCCCAGTCCTCTTTTCCCTTGACCATGCAGAAAGTGAAATGTAGGGTCTGAATGGGCAGTCAGAGGACTGGCTTCTACCCCTGTGGGCCCCATGACCTGTGTCCACCGAGGCTTGTTCCTGCACCTGTGAAATGCCAACATCATCTTCATCTCCAGGGGCCCATGTAGACCTAGACCCCTTTACTTTCCACCAGGAAAACCATCCATTCCCCCCCCCCCAGCAAGCTCAAGGCCAGCTCAGCTGTATGCTAAGCAGCTCTGCAAGGCTCAGAGCCAAGAACACGCAGCCGGGTTTTGGCAACTGGATAAACCAAGAGGCTTCAGAGGATGGAGACCTGGACTAGCGTGGTAAACTGGTGGATCCACTCAGGCCAGTCTGGTATCTTAAGTGCATGTGGCACGCAGGGAGGGTCCTTGCTTGGTGCAGAGCCCCTGAGAGGGTGACCTGCACAGCCAGGGTTGGCACTGATTAGCTCTCGCCCCAGGCAAGGCCTCAATGAGGGGACAGTGACTCCCTACAGCTGCCTATGCCCCAGAGAGACACAAAAACCCTTTCCTTTGAATCACACAACAGAACAGCTGGGCTCTGACAAGGAAAGGCTATGACAGGGGCAATTTTATATCAAGGGTTTAATGGGATCAAGAAAAGGGAATAAAAAGTTTTAGCTATTGAGAAAAGAAGGAAAGAGGAGGGAGGAAAGGAAAAGGAGGAGGAGAAAGAGGAGGGGGGAAGGACGAGGATGACAACAAAGAAGAGGAAGAGGAATAAGGAGGAAGAGGAAGAGGAGGGGAAGATGATGATGAGGATGAAGAGGAGCAATAGGCCTCTTTCACATAAGCTATCCTTGAACAAGAAATCAGCCTTCTAACAGTGTATTCTGGGCAGATCGTGAAGGAATTGAGTCTCTCTCCTCTCAATCCCAGTACCCCAACTTTCTGCTTGATCATTTTGGGGAGCTTAGTGCTTCCTTGAAGAGGCCTTGCCAACAAATTGTCTGATGAGGTCATCTGAGATGACCCTCCCAGAACATAGCGCTCACACTTGGAAAAGGGCGAATCTCTACCGGGAATTCACTGGTATGGCTCAGGTCACATCCCCAAGGGGGTGACCAGCTCAACACAAACATAAGACTATCTACTACCAATTTTCAACACCTTTTGAGCTCTTTAAATACATTTCTCTCTGTTTGTAATTTCTCTAATGATTATGGCTTATTATATGAATGCATGAAAATCATATTGCACAGAATGATTTACAGGATGCCAAAAAGCTAGACAGAGGTCAAGAACCTAGGGCATTCCCCTTGACTCTTGCATTGCTATTGGAAGAACAGAGTTCACGACTAGTTTCCATCTCTGGCTTCTCAGTGTTTTCTGCTATCGTTCGGTTCTAGCCTTTTTAGTATCAGGATTAAATCAGAACTTTGAAATATTATTTTGGTTAAATGGAATGTACTCTATGTTTTTAAAAGAAGATATAAGTATACTAATCAAGATCCAACACAAACAATAAAGATAATTTGAGAAGGCATTATTCTGCTAGTCAGTGGTTCTATGCTTTGAATATAAACTTGTTATTAGAGAAATACATACAGCCATCTTCCTAACATGTGGTTTAAAGACAAAAATTAAGGCTTTCAACATCAAAAACTAAAAAAAAATAAAACAAGACAAAAACCAAAACCTAAAGCAAAAATAGATAAAAGCCAGTTTAAAAATACATCATCAAAATATTTCATTGAAGTCTTATAGTTGAACAAATACAGATTTATATCCTTTATACAAAAAGCCTGGGGCCAGAAGTGGTTTGGATTTCAGACTTTTTTGGATTTGGGAATATTTGCATATACATAATGAGATCTTGGAGATGGGACCTAAGTCTAAACATGAAAGTTACTTGTGTTTTATATATACCTTATATAAATAGGGCAAAGGTCATATTATACAGTATTTTTAGTGAGTCTGCATTTTGACTGAGCCCTGTCCCATAAAGTCAGGTATGGTATACTGGGACTCAAAGAGCTTCAGATTTCGGAGCATTATAGATTTTCAGATTAGGGCATTTGACCTGTACTGCACAGGGAATGAAAGGCTCAGTTCTACTGCCTGGGTTACAGCTCTGGATGAGATGCTTTGCTTCTCTGATTGCAATGTTCTCAGCTCTAGTCACAGTTCTCAAGATGACAGTGACACTGAGGTGATACACAAAAATGCTCCCACACCCTAAACACATACTTTTACTATGTTTTGAAGAATTCGATGAGGACACAGGAGTTTGGGCCGTGTGCTGCCACAGCGAGCAACTCCACTGGTCTATAGCTGAATGGCTGATGCTGGGGAGCTGGCAGCAGACGGGGCAGGTACCATGTATCTTGCTGCAGTGGGGGCCATGTTTGGACTGATCCCTCAATGTTTCTTTCTTGCTCTACCTGTGCCCGTAAGCCCAGGATATCTGGAGGAACCCATCAGCTCATGCCAGACAGAGACCAGCATTTCCATCTCCTAAACATGGGGCTCTCAGCTGCTCAGAGAACTTTTGCCAACACAGTCACAAGAAGATGAGAAACCTACCTTTTATTCCAGTGCTGGAAGAAAGATACACAGCCCTGCTCTCCATTTTTGGTAACAATTACTGGGGTCAAGACTAACATCCTTTATGGAGCTGAGGATCCCCAAAGAGGTCCAGAAATACAGTTATTGCTGTATTGGCATGTCCTATTGTGCTGTGGTGGAAAGAACCTTGAACTTGAAGTCAGAGATGACAATTGTCATGACAGTGCCCCTTATCGGAGGAGTGACTCTGGAAAGCCCTAGGTTCTTTTAGGAATCTGGGGATCCTCCTTAAAAACTTCCCTTATGGGTTGCAATGGCAACTGAATAGGAAGAGGGATGAGAAAAAAAAACCCTGCAACCCTCTAAGAGAGACCCTCAAACATATTTGTTCTTCACCATGACAGTGCTGGTCAGAAGTCACAAGGAATGATCTATTACTTAGTACCAAAAACAAGCTGAGAAAATTAGGAAATCACTGGCCACTTCAGGGAAGCAGAGAAACCACCTCCAACACACAACAGGACTTACCAGGTAGCGCTCCTCCTGCCTCATGCTGGGGGTGCGGATCATGTGGTTCTGTTCCCCTCTCCAGTCTCCAAAGCGACGAAAAAAATAGTTAGATAAAAACCGGCTGACGGGGTCTCTAATGATGTTGATGTAGACGGGCTGGTCTCCTCCAAACCTAACACACACATGCACAAACAGGGAGCTCGTTACAACCCATCACTTCTGCAGGAAGAAAAGTGGACAGGGTTTTCCCTCTAGTCAACCTGCTCTCTGGTGACTGCCCCATCTGCCCAGGTGCACACGAGCACGTCACAGAGCATGAGTGCTGACAGGTGTGTTGTTTCATGCAGGAAGCAGAGATAGTGACATCTTATCCAGGTCCTTCAAGAAGCTGGGAGGACATGCTGATAGTCTAACTGTACACAAGCCATGCTGCTAGTCAGCATCAAGGCACAGACATCATCTGATCTTCTCTCTAGGTTCAGACGCTGAGGATGGGGGCTCTGGATGCCCACTGGTTGGCACAGGACCCACTGGCATGTAGCAGGCCCTTAGTGAATAATTCAATGGACTGGTCGATGCTGGGTGCTGTGGTGGGTGCAATGGTACTTCTGTACTGTCATCCAAACACTCCCTGGCAAGGAGCTCTGCAGTGAGGGAATTAACAGCAGCCACAATTCACTGGGTGATCTTTCCACCTTGTTCCTAACACTTTATATGTCCATTCACTGAAGCCCCCCGACACCTCCACAGAGTAGAAACCATAATATCCCCCATATTATGGGGGAACTGTGGCTGAACTGAGAGATGAAGTCAGGTGATCAGGCTCCAGAATCTGTGCTATTAAACCATGGAAAGACAATTCCAGAGCTGGGAAAATTAATAATTGTAATAGATATGAAGAATGAATCAAAAATCAATGTAATTATCCTGCAGTGATGGAAAGTGGTTTCGATTAAAAAAAAAGATAAATATCTAGGCATTCCATGTTCATTCCAACTACAAAACTTGAACAACTATAGTAGGAGTCAGTCTGAGAGCAAGGCTTTGCAAGCCATGGTGACTGGGCTGCTGGATTTTCTTGAAGGACTCCCCTTTTTCTGTGAACTGTTTGGAAGCAGGGGTCCTGTGAAGTCTTGGCTCTGGGTAAAGCTCATGCTCTGGTAGCCCTCCTGAGGGTCCCTGTGATCCTGTGACCTTCTGATAAGAATGCCTTCCTATTCTGTCAGGGGTCACATAAAGCTCAGAAAAAAAACAGGCAGGGAGACCCCAGCTCCCACTTCTCTAGCTGATGGATGGTTTTCCTTTCAAAACCCAGCTCAGACTCACAGTCACCTCTCCAGCAATGATCTCCAATGGACTATCCACTCCTCACCTCCTCTGACCCTGAGCCCTCCTCCTGTGCTGTGTTGGAATGCCTATCTCTCTCCTCAGACTGTGACCCTCCTGCAGCCAAGAACTATGTCACTGAGCACAGTGGGTGGCCTCATCAGTGCTCAACAATGGTGACTGATTGAAGAAGTGTGTGCCCAGGCGTGCACGCTTCCAAGTTGTTCCGTTGCTACAGTATTAGGGGCTCTGTCATCAGAAGATATGAGCTTCAAAGATTTTCTGAGCATCTTATTCATATAATGTTTTGTCCAGTTTATTTGTACTTTTTTCTTTCTTTCATTTGGGATCAAGGATTGACCTAAGGGTACCTAACCTCTGAGTCTCATCTCCAGCCCTTTTTAATTTTTTTTAAATTTTGAGACAGGGTCTCATTAAGTTGATTAGAGCCTCGCTAAACTGTGGAGGCTGCCTTTGAACCTACAATTCTCCTGCCTCAGCCTCCCAAGCCTCTGGGGTTATAGGTGTGAGCCACCGCACCTGGCCTTATTTGAACTTTTGAAGACAATCTTTAGAGAAAAAAATCCAAAGGAATGCAAAGGAATAACTCCAATAGTGAACTTTCAGACACCAGGATGTGTGCATGATATCCTGGATTCCCCAGATTCTACCAGCTAGGAAAACACACTGCTCAGGAGTAAAGCCTAGCCTTGCCAATAGGAATCTTGTCAGTTCCCAGATGATGTTCAGGCCACTAGAAGAACATCTAACTGTAGTCCTAGGGGTTAGCTGTGCCAGCCACCAGCTAACCACCACACATATCCTGAATTTATCATCCTCTTTTAATTAAACTGGGTTTCATATCTATGATAAACCGTAACTAAAGTAATAATGTTAGGCACTACAAAATAAAACATGCATACCAAATATGAATCCAATATGATCCTCCAAAAATTAAATCATGCTTTCTTTCACAAACCTCAATGGTACTTCTATCTTTGTGAGAACAATTACCAGTGTTAATTAGTAACTTCCAAATCATGTCAATCAACATATAGCTTCCCATTAGGAGATGGTTCTCAACCTGACCACTGCCATGAGGCCATGAATGTGCGTACTGACCAGCTTACTGAGCACAGATGGTTTGCTCCTGTTTATACACTGCATCCAGATGAAAGAATTCCAGAACAGTTTTCCCAAACACAAGTATCAGATGGCTTATAAAGTCACTGTCAACTGTACTACAATAACCTCTGTCTAGAAATTTCTAACTATGGAAGAGATGTGTCTAATATATCTCTCTCCCTTTCCAGAAAGCAATAATAATAATGGTTTCAAGCTGTCAATCCCAGTCTTTTTGGTGTGTACAAGTTCCTCCCAAACTGGCAAAACCCAGGTGGTGTGTCAACAATATGAGGCCAGAAGACCACCATGACATCACCAGAGTATACCTCGTGTCCTAGTGCCTGAGGAAGAAACACATTTCCCTCCCTCATTCCACCCTCCTTCAGGATACGGTTCTCCTCCTTCAGTATTCTCTTAACTGTGTTGAAAATTTGTAGTCACACTTATAAAGTCCTCTGGGTCTTGTGAACTTATGGCTCACCTGAGTCTCCAAGAGAATGAGAGAGAAGAGAATGCTTTGACCCCACCATCCCAGTAGCACAGCATCCTGCCTTATGTTTAAAACCCCTGGGAGAAGGTTCCACGGACTCCCTGTGAAGTCCATCCTACTGGTCAACCTGACGATGACAGAGTCTTKGTCCTACCCAGCCGACACTCCTGACCTTCCTTTCAGGCACACTTATTTCTGTCCAAGTCATCACACACAAAGGATTAGCTTCTTTGGGGCGTGAATTTTTATTCCTTTAGTTTTTTTGTTTATATATTTTAAAAATTCCTTTGGTTTTTATAATAAAACTTATTTCCCTTCATTTTGTAATGTATGGTTCTAACTTGCTATTTATTGTGCTTTGAAACACCACAGAGACAACCGCTGATCATAGGCTCCAAGATGCTCTGTACTAGAGAACGGAAGAAGAGTCAGGCAGTGTTTCATTTTTTACTTAGCAACACAATGTTGTCCCTTGGTCCCCACAATTATTACTGTATATTCGAAGCTCTCTCAAGTCATCCTAAAATAGCAGCTATCACCAATTTCTTTGACTTTTGTTCACAGGTCATATTCACCAGCTCTAATCGTCCTCTGGGTCCCCTTCTGACCCTCTGCAAATGGATTCTGTTATTTTTATTTTTATTGAGTTTCAAATCTATTTTTAATGAGAAGATGAAGATCCAAAGCAGGATATAATCTGCTAACAATAATAACCACACAGTTCTCATAGCATGGCAGCATTTCAAATGGTTTCCTTCTATTTTCTTCAACATCTTAATCTACTTGGCAGCAATACTAGTCATCTCTTCCACAAAGCAGGGGTAAGAACCTTGTATGCTTTCATCAAAATACTAAAGGTGTTCTTCCTATAATAATAAGTAATGCACACATTAAACCAAGACTTCAAACCAGGATTATCCTGGAAAATTTGGACTATTTTGTCCTCCTCCAACAGTTTAATTTTCTACGCCTGGTGACAGGTGCTGAAAACATATCTTCTTTTTTTTTCAAATTGTGGTAAAATATACATAATACAAAATTTACCCTCTTTACCAAGTTCAAGTGTACAATTCGTTGGTGTTAAGTACATTCACACTGTCGTACACCATCACCTCCATATCTCTCCAGAACTTTTCCATCATTCCAAGTTGAAACACTGCATCCATTAAATGATAAATCCTTCCCTCTCCTTCCCCCAGTCCCTGGGGATCATGATTCTACCCAGAGCACATCTTTTTTTAGCTTCTGGCCTGGAAGTAGGCATTACCCTTGCACTACTATCTGTGGTTCAAGATGGAAAGTCCAGTAGGCTGGAGGCCCACAGCTCTGATCCTTGCCAATGAGGGAGGAAGACACATTGAAGTGGGAGAGAGGCCATCATGGAGAAGAATAAGACTTGGGAAAGACTGAGGGGCTGCCCAAGGGAGAAAGGCAGACATGGTTCATTAATGGCCCTTTGCTGGAAGCCAGTTGTTACAGTGTGGATGTGAGATGTTCCCCAAAAGCTCACGTGTCAGACAATGAAAGAAGGTTTCGAGGAGAAATGATTGGGTTATGACAGCCTCAACCCAATCAGTGAATTAATCTCCTGATGGKATTAACTGGGTGGTAACTGAAGGCAGGTGGAGGTGGGTCACTGGGGACGTGGCTTTGTGGTATATATTTTGTATCTGGCAAGAGGAGTGTCTCTCTGCTCTCTGATCATCATGTGAGCTGCATCCCTCCACCATACTCTTCCGCCATGATGTTCTACCTCACCTTGAGCCCCAAGGCATGGAGCTRGCTGTCTATGAACTGAGATCTCTGAAACGGTGAGCCCTCAGATCAACTTTTCCTCCTCTACAATTGTTCTGGTCAGGTCTTTTAGTCACAGCAATGAAAAAACTGACAAAAACACCAGTCACAGTAACCTGAGCCTTTGGCAGTTACTGAACGCCAGCCGGGGGCCAGGCATGGGTGGGAGGTTAGCCCCCATCCCCTAACTCTGAGCAGTGGGTACTTCAGGATGGGACCTCCCATCCCCAGACACACTCAGAGGAAACAGAGCCACACTCTGCTCTCTGGAGCATCCTAAGGGGAAGATGTGGAGTCATTTTCTGTGAAAAGCTGAGGCAAAGGTAGGGGAGGATTGGAGGGGGGTGGCTGGGCCACTGGAGTTAAGGTTCCTACTCAAGGAGGAAGATRATAGGACAAGGCAAGAAATAATCGGCTGACAATAAACAGCAAAAATTAAAGAAGAAATAAGCTGAGCTGAGGGGAAGTCAAGATGATTCTTGTCCTGGATGGGYCTCCAAAGCTGCTGGGCTCATGTGGCCACAGAGGTCTCTCTGCTCACGGTAGCATGAAAAGCCGAGCTGAGAGACGAGCCCAGCTGTGCTTCAACAGGGTAAACTGAGAAAACGCTCATCTTCATACTGAACTCCCGGGCTCTGTTAACACAGGTGAGGACAGCAGAAAGTAACCATCAAGAGCCATTTTGACTCGGGTTTTTGTTTTTTCACACTTTGAGGATTCTGTCACTATTATAAAAGATTTAAGGGCCCTGAATCAAAAGAGGCCATGTTGCTCATGAGAATGAAAAACATAGTCAACATTTATGCATAAGATGTGGAAACCCAACTGAATTATGGAAATATCAAATCTTGTTTGCTTTGTTCACTAGTGTCCCGAGAAGGCAGGCTCTGTGACTGCACATACGTAATGAAGACCTCAYGTGAAGGGAGGAGAGAAAGTGGGCAAAGGCCTCCTCTTGCTCCTTACCCCYCACCTGCTTCCCTGGTGACTGACTGATTATAACATGTTTTGTTTTGATCAGTTTGCACCAGCATCCRGGCTAAAACAGGAAGGGAGGCAAAGGACGGGGACGAGGTCGCAGGTGAGAAAGGAAGAATGAGATGGAGAAAGGTTAAGGGACTGGTAGTTTAAGGTGTTTCCCATCCTGGTAGCTCTCACAGCCCACTTGGATTCTTTTCATAGCACCAGCCCCTGAGGTGAGACTTTCATGAGGTTTTCCCTGCAAGAACCGAATAGAGGGATTGAGAGGGATTCTGGATTGGAAAAAGAATTACTGGAAAGCCCATCCCTCCAATAAAGTTTAGAAAACAAGCAACAAATTGGGAGAGACAAGCTGTATTGTGCTTGCCACGAATATTTCCAGAGGGTGGAGTTAAGTCACACACGTGGGGATACAGCTGCTGAGGGAAAGTTGAAGTTTTCCAAAATTTGTACCCAAAGTTACTTCAACAACCAGAAAAAAGACACATGAAACCGCACACCCAAGTGTTAAAAACCCTACTGAACCATCCCAACATCTTCCAGCATCTTCTAGGCAAAGGTGGTTTGGACTCAGTTCTCCTGGTTGCCCAGAGGAAAAACATTTGCCTGACCCAAATTTCCAGAGAGATGAAAAACCGTGTGAAAGAATAGCCAAGTGGAAACCCCACAGATCCAAACCTGGGATCTCTGAGGAGCTGGCCTTGCTGTGTCCTTAGGCAGAAATCTTTCCCGGAGGCAACTACAAAAACACCTGATTGATCTAATACAATTGCTTCCCATGGATTAATAAAACTGCATATGGATGAACAGTTTCCTCTAACAGGGAGGAAAAAAAAGGAAGAGGGCAAGAAACCCAGATGAGTAAATGAAATAAATCAGCTACTGAGTCACCAAGAGCTCACAGGATGGCATTTTACATCAYCCTGGGTGTCTGTGTTTCAAATAAGAATGTCATACCTAATGGAGAAAAAGAATTAGGGGGCAATCCATTTTGGAATAGTGCCATCTCCCTCAAAAGTTCAGAAGAGGAACATGTCAAAGCCACTTTGGCTCTCATTCTTACAGCCTGCTCCACAGCGGGCATCCTGCTGCATGTTAGCCATGCACAGAAGACTGGAATTATCTACACAGAACTTGAGGCTGCAGTCTCGCTTCTCACAGCGTCCTCATTTCTGACACGAGCWGTCTACAGCATTCATAAGCAGGCTTCTGAGGAGCGGCTTCATTATCTCTAGGCCTCGGAATTCATAAAGCAGAAGTCATTTTTTAAAGTCTGTTAAAGGCCTCCTAACAAATTCCAACTTGGTTGTTTTTTTTTTTCTTTTTCTTTCTATCAACTATATATTTTTGGGCTCTTTGTATGGCTGCAGTTTGCCATTTACACCTAAGAAATGTTCCTTCAAAAAAGACATTCCCTTGAAAGCAGCTGATTTTTTAGCTTCCCAGGTTCCGGGAGTGTGATCATCTTGTCCTATATTCAAGTTCTCCACATTATTCCACTAATTTTTAGGGAAGTCTTGAGCTAAGGCCCTGACACAGGGCTTTGGGGTGCAGAGAAAAGATGGGGAGATGGACCCGACAGAGGCAGCCYTGGCCCTGTCTCGCTTCAGACCCTGGCTGCCATTCTACTCCAGTTGTGTGCCCCCCCGCCCCCAGCTGCACTTCAGCTCTCTTCAGCTCCTCCCTGTGTCCAGCTTTCCCTGGTTCTGATCCCTGTACTGAGGACGCCATTCCTGTTCACTGGTACAGAGCTGACCCATCTGCACTCCTCATCTGGGGTGCCTTTCAGGAACATAGCCTGCTGCCTCCCACCTGCCCTAGGGGAGCCACTGTGAGCCCTCCCCCTCTGTGCACCACACTTTCCCATATTTCTTCTTCAATGGAAGAACATAAGGATTCCCARAGGCCAAGGAAACCTTTAGTGCTCCTGGCAGAAGCCCCACTTGTACTGTAGCGTGGAGGAGATGGAGGCCCTCCATTCATGTGCTTTGAATTGAACAAAAKGGAGAGGAGGAGGACACAGAGCCTGCCCTGCTCTCGGGTTGCTCCTGCTGTGGATGTGCTGTAGGCCCGCCTATCTGCAGCAGAACTGGGGCTCYGTGGAAGACTTCCACAGCAATACCTTTTTAAGTGCCACTTTGAATTTATATAGTATCTTCCTCTTTGAGGGCTTTCCTTCAAATGCTCAGGGCATTCTTACAAGACAGGGTGGGCAGGAATTGTCCCTCACTTCCCCACCAAGAGATTCCCCACCAAGAGATTGAATGACATGCCCAAGTCATGGACAGTGGGCAGGCAGACTGACACCCAGAGATCCTGGCAGCCCGGCCTACACTGTTTTCTGCAGATGTGGTCCTATAAAAGGCATTTATTGAAGCTTTATTTATTTCTTTCAGAATTAAAGCAATCAAGATTGTCCTCTTATAGGTATATGTGATGGTGGAGGCCATGATAAAATACAGCCACCAGGCTGTGCTCTGCTGATCCAATTAAGATACCGGCTTTGGCTTCTCATTAGAGTTCTACACTGTACTGAGATAATTATTAAAATACGTTTTATTGCAATTTGTTTGGTTGTAAAGATTTGACCTCAAAGCAAAAGAGTTAATGCATGAAGTTCGAAGGTGTCAGAGGTGATACAGGAGGAGGCTCACTAGAATAGCAAGAAGTAGAAAAGCATACTCTTTTCCTTACAAGTCATAAAACACAGGCCTGAAAGGGCTAATGAGTCCTTATTATCTCCTTGTGCCTAATAACATGTTCTTGGCCTTCTGGAAGGAAGAGGCAGGGTGCATATAATGTTCAACCCAGTAACAAGTCACTTTATACGTGTTGTTGAAAAACACACTCTAGGCTGCCCAACCCCTGGCCACAGGGTCACTGTGGATAATTTGCAGGTGCCCTATACACCATCGCAGGGAACTCAGATTATCAGGCAGGCCCAGGAAACCTTAGTTCTGGGAAAACTCACTTTTAAAGATAAGGCAGCAAGCTTCTCTGCTCTGCTATGTTCTGCTTAATAACGAGCTTCATTGAATCTCATTCTCTTTACACTTAATTGGCACAGGGCCTGCTGCACAGTAGGAAGTTCTTTGAAGGCTAAAACCTATTCCCAGCCCTGTGGGTTGTGAGGCATCTGGAATGCTCAGGTCAAAGCCCCAGTTCCCCCACAGCCAGCCTCCTGAGGTGCTGGACTCACAGGGGCCCTTAGGTGAAAACCAACTAGCAGGTACCATTTAAAGGGCCAGAGCAGAGTGCAGCAGGGCTCTCTGTGTCCCTGTGAGTACTATAACCCACATGAAAATGAGAGATGTGCCACCAGAGGCCACCCAGGGAGGCCCAGGGGTCCTGGGCCAGTCCACAGATCTGTCCCCAAACCGGAGATCTGATAGCCAACCGACTCCAAATGTGAGCACAGGCCAGAGTCAGCAGAGAAAGGAGGAATCTAAGGGCCACCTGTTCAGGAACAAGGGGCAGTGGCAGTAAACCAGTAAACGTCTAGGGAGGATATGCACAGAGCATGAAGTTAGCAATTAAACCCAGATAAGGTCAAAAAGCCTGAATTTGATGATCTGTACTATTTGCAGAAGGACAAAGTCACTGAAGAAAAAGAGAATTCTAAAATATCCCACCAATGTCAAACATGCAAGACCAGGATAATCAAATGGAGAATGAAAAAGCTAGACTGAAAGGCTGCTATGAGCACTCTGGAGACGACGCCCACAGCCCTGTCAGGCTCAAACTGCACAAAAATGTGCAATAAAATACTTATGTTGAAATACCCACTTCTTGCCTTCTTGTTGGTTTTAATACAAAACCTGACTTTTTTTTTTTTTTTTTTTAAGAACTGTCAGGTCAAATGTCTTCTCATTAAAAAAAAAATCAAAGTTTTTTTTAAAAAAAATATTTTAGATGGTATTCTAGGAACAAAATGAATTTCTGTCCAAATATTTCAAATTGTGACTCCTTTGCAGCAAAAATAAATGGATTAAAAATGACTTTTCAAGGCAATTGTACTACCTTGCAAATACAGGTAGATGTCTTAAGTAACTGTTCATTAGAAGGAGCCTAAGGATTCAAAAAGAAATGAGAGAACCATTAACGTGGAAAGTGCCTTACCTTGAGAAGTTGAGGAAATGAACGTGTCGGGTGAATAAATAGGGCTGTTCGGCAGTACTTATATTTTTAATCAGTTCCATCTATTAAAAAAAGTACAAAATTAGCATATGTAGGATCCGATTTACTGAGCCATATTAAGCTAAAGGTTATCTATCCAACTCCTTTTATCCCCACTTATTGCTTTTGGACCAGGGCCAAGCAGCTGGGCTTTATGCAACATTTATGAACTTTTGCATAAAGCTCCTTAGTGAAGAAAATAGTGCTCTCCAAATTTGTGATCCTGTCCTTAATTTAGTTGGTTGCTACCATGAAAGCAATGTGACAGATTAAGTAATTTCAAAGGGAGAAATGAACATGTTGCTATGCAGAAACGCAAGTCAAAGAATGCCTTTAATCCCTACCTGTAAAGTCACACCAAGAGAAGAGGTTAATCATTATTTTATATTTCTAATGATATTATGGAGAGTTATTGAAATACTGGAAACTCATACTGCAGAATTTGAAAGTGGGAATGAAAAGAGGCACTGCTCATTATTTTTCTCTTTGATTACAAAAATTTATAAGGAAAATATAATGGGGAACACAAGAACCCCCAAAGTCTTGGTTGTTGGTGGGTGGTCATCTGAATTATTTATTTGCAGTTATCAGCAAGGCAAAAAGTAGTTTATATTCATATAAACTAACTTTTATGGTCTTCTGGAACATGTCATGATACAGAAAATGTTTAGTAAAATCTGTTGGAAATTCCAAACATTCTTAGGACTCCGTGACTTCCTGAATTCCACTTTCCCTAGTATTTCTAATTGGCCCCATCAAAATGGACATGGGAAATTTCTAAAAAGCACAAAAAGATTGCTACTTCGGATGAACTTCAGACGTGCAGTATTTCATATTTTATGAACTAGTTCAAGCTGAAAACTGGAAACAAAAGCGGTCATTCACACGTTAGGCGCAGTAGCAAAGAAAATAGAATAAGAGTCTGGACCTCCAGGTTGTCTCAAACGTGACAAAAACCCTGGATTACTTTGTCTCTGCCTGTCTAACACAGGGGTGACACATGCGTACACACTGGATAAATATTTGTTGAATGAATTAACTCCAACTAGTACATGTTTTATAGCTTGTTACTCCAGGAACTTAGTGCTAAACCCTCTAATTAGTTATTCATGCTCACAATGATTATTTGAAGAAATGAAATTGAACTGTAAAAAGAAAATGACTCCCAGTTTCTAAGCCCCGGGTTTCCGTTAGTCAGGGGCAGGCATGGTGAATGATGATTTGCCCTTTCCTGGGCTTGAGTGTAAAAGGAAATTGAATCCTGCTTCTTTATCTCTTGCCTATCCTCTACACAACCCCTGCATGTGCTTGTCTCTGGTAGTAAAATTTCCTGCGTGGGCACATTGTTAATTTTGAGTTTTGATGGACGGACCACTAGAATTACCGATTTGAAAGCATAATCACAGGTAGTTTATCTTCTGAGGATGCCTGCTTAAAAAAAAATAACTTTCCTGTATGTTTAATATGAAGATGATTCATGCTTTCATCTCTAGCTCATTTTTATTCATATATTTCTCTGCACAGGTCAAAGTCATATAAGAAAGACCCCCTAGTATTGCATAAGAAAAATGGAAGAAAAGGTCAGAAGAAACACCATTTTTTCCCACATATTCAACATTATATTACATTCTCCAAACACATGTCAATGTGTTAAACTTAATGGAAGAATGGCAATGGTTAGACTTTTGAGAACAGTGTCATAATAGTCATAAAGCTGTCTATTTCAGAAGGAAAAATGTATTAGCAGTGACAATGCAGAACTCTTTCAAGGCATATCTTTAAGCACATGATAAAGGTACTAATGCTCAAGTTTATTGCTTTAGAACAGTGAGAACAGAGGACATTTCTCTCACACAGTTTGTTGCTGCATACCAAACAGTAAAATCACTTACGATGTATCATAAGCACAGGTTTCAGGCATCATGTTCAAGGTGTATTTTGACCTTCACAAATGCTAAGGTTTGATCCACTTCTAGTAACAAGCATGGCTCTCTCTCTAACCTTTATCCCAACCTCCCACTGCCCACCTCCTAAGGACCTCACCTGGTCTTTCTACTATGACAACAGTCTACCTTTTCTCTCACTTGATCTTATTTAAATGTACAACATCGTGGCAGCAAGGGCACTACGTTACGTACAATCACCACAGAGACCACCTCATGTAGGACCCCTCCTGGACTTTATTTTAATTCCACCACATATATTCATCCATCCTACACTGAGTATTTATGAAGTACTAAAGAGAAAGACATGAATAAGGTGAGTGGGAAGACATAAAGAAGAGAGAGTCAATCATGCCAGAACCACACTCTTGGTTCTCTCCCACCTTCATTGTTTATCCAGCCAATCCATCCAGACACTCTGGTTCTGGTTAATGGTGCCCTCCGTGTCCTGCCTTTGATCTGGGTCTTTCCCTTGCTCAGTCATGTTAATTCTTTTGCAATCTCCCTTGACTGGCTCTCCAGGTGAGGCATGCTGTGGCCAGTCCAGCTAGCTACCTCCTGTTCCTTCTTCACACCACAGCCTGACCAAGTGCAAACCTGGACTCAAACTTCCTCTTCTGGAATGTTCTTCCACTTTCCTCTGCACATTCAAATTCTAACCTCTCTTTACATTTGGCTAACATACCCCCCTCCTTCAAGTAGCTCTCCTGAATCTCCCCTTTGATCTCCAACTCTGTCATGCAACATACTGCTTGGGGTTGCAGCTATGGAGATAAAAAATTTGGTCTGGCTCTCAGGCATAGTCTTGTGGATGAAGTAGAGCAGTGGACAGGCACTATCATGTGACAACAGCACGGGGTAGAGGGCACACGGTGAGAGGGGATGGTTGCCCTTGAGGTGTGCAGAGTGGATGCATAGGACTTAGCCAGTAAAGAAAGGGATTCCAGGCCTGGTGGACAGAATTAGCAGCAGATATAAGAACAAAACCTAAAATGGCATGGATATTAAGAAGTTTCATGTCAGGTATGGGCTCAGCAAGGTAGCAGGTAAAACAGGAGAATTAGAATTAGGTAGGAGCTGGGTAATTGAGGATATTGCTTGTCATGCAAGGGATTTGACATTTATGCTATGAGCAATAGATAATCAAAAGACTTATTTTGTATTTTTTTCCAGATCTGAGTGTAGGATAGAAAATGTGAAGAAGGATAAAGGTTAGAGAGACAGGCTGAGGATAGCTCAGTGGTAGAGTGCTTGTCTAGCATGCATGAGGCCCTGGCTTCCATTCCTAGCACCAAAAGGTTAGAGACCAGAAGCTCAGTGGGAAAGACTGCCCCAGCATCTGCAGGAACTTGTTAGAGATGCAGTTCTTCAGGTTCTACCCTCATCTACTGAATCAGAACACACCCCCCCCCACCACCTCAAAAATCTGTGTTCTAACAAGTGCTCTGGGAGACGCTAAGGTGTGGAGATACGAGAAGCACTGAACTCACTGAGTGTGAAGAAAGATGGAAAGTGGCCTGCCGCCATGTTACATTAGGGGGTCCTTATCTGAAAGGCCTGGAGAGTTCTTAGCTGCCCACTGGCAATTTGCCCACCGCCATGTCTGAAAGGCCTGGGGACTTCTTAGGGAAACTCCCAATGTTTATTGACATTTATTTCATTTATATCTAACGTAATAATTTATATGGTTCAACTTAAGTCTACCWGCTTGGCATTTTGATATTTTTCTTTCTCCTTTTATCCATTGTTCCTCCATTGCCTTCTGGGTTTAATGAAATTGAAGATTTTATTAGTATTCCTTTTCATCATCYTCATTGTTTTTTTACTTATATCTTTTTATTGTTTGGGTGGATTATGTTTTATCTTCTTGTCATAGTCTGCCATGTGTTAGAAATTAGATATCTTTGTATAATGTAAGGATTTTACCCCATCCTGTTCTTTGAGCCAATAAGCTTGCAGTTGTTCTCTCCTGATTCCCAGCAGGCACTCTRTATCACAGGGTCTGGTGATGCCCTAGGGGAGAGCTGTATAAAGGTAAATCTTATTCTTGGTTCTCTTTTTCTTAAGAGCTGAATTCCCCCCACTGTCTGTCTGCTTCTAGTCACCTCTCCAACTTCTTCAAAACATGTTTTTGTRTTTTATTTACCACTTTGTTTTGCTATTTGTGAAACAGTTCATTTAATAAAATCTATCCCACCATGATCAAAACTAGAATTATCCTTGGTTATTTTCAGTATTGTAATAAACACTTTTGAATTCATCACTCAGAAATTTGTGAGTAACCTTGTTATCATTCCCTTTTAATCTTTTTGCATAGTTACATTGAATTTGTATTTGTAAAATGTATAATCAATATTTACTTACAATATAATGAATATTTATTAACTGATATGTATGTGTGTATGTGTGTGCATGTGCATATAGAAAACCAATTAAATACATATTTGTGAGAAAAAAAAAGAAAGATGGAAAGACTTAGGGAGGGCTACAGAGGTAGATGATTGAGCCTCACGACCACCTGCTGGTAGAAGGCAAGGAAAGGGAGTGGTCCAAGAGATTTCCTTCCCACATCCCCCCTAGGATAATGAACACAGGGTGGTATCCAGCTGTGGAGATGGCAAATGCTGGAGCCTGAACAAATTCAGCTACAGAAGTTAGGAGAAATGGATTTGCTTTTGGATATATCCTGCTAGAAATGAAGTAGTCTTCTTTGTCCTTCCCCCTCACTGGATCTGAGAATGTTTCACTTTCTGTTTGCTTGTACCTGGGTTTGTGAGCTCGCTCTAAGCTACATGCTAAGTTCCCTGAAGTCCAGGATTGGGTTTACTTATCCCAAGAAAGCCTGGCTCAGGTACCTGCACAGAACATGTACCCCATGAATATCTATAGAATAAAGATACTTCCTCTAGAAATACTTCTTGTACTCAAAAAAGTAGAAGATAGAATGAATTTAGCCTTTTCTGGGACAGATGTGTGTGTTTATTACTCTGGTGTCAAGGGGAGCTCATGTTATCCTTACAATACCCAAGACAGAAGAGCACCAAGAAAATCTAGACTTTCTCAGTGTTTTATGAGGGTTG